ACCATGGCTTTGGTCAGCGTCTCAAGCACTTCCACTGGCCACCGGACACAGCTAATTAGGGGGTTTGGGGTTTGGGGGTTTGGCGGTTTAGGGGCTTAGGGGTTTAGGGTTTTAGGGTTTTTTAGGGTTTTTAGGGTTTTCAGGGTTTAGGGGTTTAGGGGTTTAGGGGTCTAGGGTTTAAGGTTTAAAGGGATGGCGCGGGGGTCTGCATCACGTTGGGGTCTTGGGGGTCAATCCGGAATGACTAGGCCCTAAACCCTAAACCCCTGTTGGCATCCAGGCCTATTGCGAACCCTATAACCCTGAAGGGTCCGGTGATTGCTGGCCCTGGTCCATGCACCATGCCATCTTTCCGTGAAATAGGAGGAGTTCATACCAAGGAGCAGCAGCTGCAGCGCGTGCCGTGCCTGCGTGACGGCTGTGAACCCTGAAAAACCTATGAACCCTTCCCAAGCTCCAAACGTCCGAGGTGGAGGGGATAAGACAACGTCGTTTCAAAAATGTTCCACGGCCCGTGGAAGATCCAGCAAAAGTTCCTGGTCAAAGTGCATAGAAGCCCTAACACCCGAAAAACCCTAAACCCTAACCTAAACCCTATAAACCCTAGACCCTAAACCCTAAACCCTAAACCGATATTATGAAACCCTTGTGGCTCTGGTCTCTCGTAGAAGTCTAAAGGCTGCCGCGCCAGATTCTCTTATGCTGCATTCCCCAAAATGCCCCAAACTCGTGAATCCTAAACCTCCATGACCCCTGTTCCCGAAGATTTCTTGTGACCTTGCAAAGCATCTGCTCCCTGCGAACGATTGCAGTGGAGTTTATTTAGATAGATCTTTAACTGTTGTATTCGGGGTTTCTTCAGGGTTCCGGTCTACAAGGATAGTTTCGCAGTTTTTGAGCTTTTGGCTTAGGGCTTCGGCGATCCAAGGGTACCTTACTTGATTTTCTGATAGTGATGGGCCCAGAGCAATGTACGGGCCTTCTTTCACAATTAGATTAGGGTTCTAGTTCCGAGGTTCATTCTAGTAGCAAAAAAGAGTGCCTATAATACGGAGACGCATTATTCATTATGAACTCTTCCGATCCCTCTATGGGCCACCCACCATTTGCGTTTTTGCACATGTCACTGCCGGTGCGCGCAAAGCAAAGCCCAGACCACAAATCTGAAATCCGGGCGACCATTACCCCTAAACCGGTGTAGGGTTTAGGGTTTAGGGGTTGCACGCACATTGCAATCGAAGCTGCTACGCTGGCATATCAGAAGTTCACGACGAAACTCTCAGGTAAACTATATGCGGTATCAGGATCCCCGAAAGAGTTGCGAGATCCTTATGTTTAAGTGGGCTTTTGAGGCTCATACTTCTTGTGGGTCCAAAGAATATGCTATGCAGGCTTTTTGGGCTCTTGTGCGTCCACGGGACAATATAGCGAGCACGGCTTGCAGCCGAAATCCTAGACGCTATCGCTGCTATGCCAAGCCCTAAACTCCGAAGCTTGCACCACCGGAACTCCAAATAATCGGATCCCCAAATCAACGCAACAAGTCCGGGATGATTACCTTTAAAAAATAACCCTAAACCCTAAACCCTAAACCCTAAGCCCTAAACCCTAAGAGCGCCCTCACCTCCCAGCCGGAAATCTCCACATCAAGGCCACCAACCGCCGCTGCAAAGTGATGTTTGAAGGTCGTTGCCTTGGAAATGTTTTCTAGTTTTTAGAGGGCCGTATGGTTTTCTATACGGAGCTAAGGAAGGTATTGAATTCCATAAAGGGTCCTTTAACTAAGGATGCTACCCTTAAGGGTTCATACTTGGGGCTCCGTATTTTCCGAGACTCTTCTCGCGCTTAGAGTCGAGGTTAGACACGTTTCACGACAACCCTGAACAGTGCACACCACAGGGACCCCCTGAATTAAGGTCGCAGCTTGCGCGACTCACAGGCTCACAGAGACCACCTTAATTATTCAATAATGAACTGTAAAGCATGTGATCGAGGCCGACAGAACATAAGGTTCGCTCCCTGACACAGGAGAATGTTCCGAATCTGTTAGGGTTTTAGGAGTATTGTTCATGCATCTACATATAATTGTCACTGTCCTGAGCATCAAGGTTTCTATGTTCAACACTTTGCCCCTGACCAGAACTAAGTTTTGTCAGCAGCGCAGTTTCGTCAGTTTCCGATACGTCTTCCATGCAACGTACTTATCAACTCCACCTTTGAAAGTTTGCATTATGCAAATAATACTGCTGCTTTTATCCTTCTGAACCCCCGATACATGACTTCGAACAGTACTCAGTACTCAGCATGAGGAAGCGATAGAGAGCATTCATGACACCTAACGGACACAGCAACGCCACCCGCAATGCCGGACATGTGAACTCCCGAAATGGTTGGCCTTGTTATGTTCGTCCTTAGCCGCCAAGTTGTCGTGACCCTTGTTGTGGCTATGGGCTCTGCGGTGTATGCTTCATGCTGTCGCTGAGCTCCTCACGGAAGACTTGAGACCGAAGTAGCTGCTTCCTCGGATGACATACGGCATAAGATCTAGGGGTTGGAGTTAGTGCTTAGCGCCCGAGCCGCCTTCTATCCGGAAAGGCTTCCAGTGACGTTCGGAGTCATGGCTTCAGGGATTCAGGGCTCCGGGGTGGGGCCAAGCAGCTTGGCTGGACGAATATGCACCTCGGCTCGTGCACGACCAGGAACTCTGAGGCGTTAGATTCCTGCAGTGGTACTCCTGAAGATTCAGCTACTTACGAATATCATCACTGCCTATCTACTTGTCGCCAAGATCAGGATGATCTTTAGGTACTTTCGAGAATCCACGAAACTGCAAAATCCTGTTCATGTGTTTCGTCAGTTTCGTCCCCTAGTGAGTCATAGGGGATGACAGAGGATTCAATTCGCAGGAATGACTGAAATACCTATCTCAAAATTCGGAGATCCCCAACACACAACGGGCAGAAGGTGACTTCGGCAACGGCGAAGAGATGCCGGAGGCGCAGGAGCCAGGAAGGGATGACGGTCAGGTAGATTCACGACCAAACTCTGCGAGGATCGCTTCGGGACCCCTAAACCCTAAACCCACAGAAGCGTCCTCCCACAACCGAAACCATCCGACAATATCCTACCTAAACCCGCAGCAGTGCGCACAAAATCCAACAATCGCTCTCAACAGCAAAACCCCAAATCCTGAAACTCTACGAAATCCCAAGCCTGAGCTCTGAAGCGCTTCACCCTGAACCCAGCCATCGGAGAGCCCTCAACTCCCAATGTCCCGAAACATCGAAGCCCAGGGCACTTGATGTCGTAATCGGAGGTTGCATGGGCAGTGCCTTGGTGCTCTTCGAAGGTTGACGATAAAGGTATATTCATACATGTATGTGTGTGTATGCATACATACATATATATATATATATACGTGTCATAAACAGATATCTACACATGCATACATAATATTATACAAACTACTCTATATGACCAAGGTTATCCCTATGGGACCAATTGAACATAACACTAAGGTCAGTGCCCATGGTCCGGGAAGAAATGCCAATGCCTGCCAGGCTCGTGGCATCTAGACATGTGATCTTAGGGCCTCTGTGGTTGGCCTTCAGATTCAAGTCCGTCCGAGATAAGATGTCGGACACCCCATAACGAAAACCATCACATCCTAAGCCTCAAAGCCCTAAATCCTGGTCAAATTTGCTTTGCAAGAGCGGTGGCTTCCAGGTACTCCTGAATCCGGAACGGCGGGGCGGAGTAAAGTGACTAGGGATATGACAAATCACGTAGGAGCCAAATGGGGGTTTCCGAAAATAGGGGACCCTAATATAGTACCCTAAATAGTAGGATCCTTACTATAAGGACCCCAAAACAAGGTACCCCTAATTTTCCGAAACTCCCAAATGGGAAATCCAGTACCAGTTCTCAGAGCCCATACTAAGCCAAAGCCATTCAAGACTGTTGAGGAGACCTCCTTCTGCCTGCCCAAACCACCAAGGCTTAATGTAGACCCCTGATCGATGAGCCCCCTCCTGCCTTACATGGGATGATCACTGGGATCGTAATGTTAGACCCTTCACGAACCGCCACCTTAAAAGGCATAGTAGGGATCCTGGTAGTAGCGCCCTTTCAGAACGGTGGTACAGGGGCCTATTGATCGGTGGTGTCAATTGCTTACTGTCTGATCGAGCTCGCCAGGCACCACGCTTAAGCGGCTTCTCAAGGCACAATATGGCTAATATGAAGGCCTTAATCATCAGAAGATTGCTACATGAAGGGATTCCTTCAAGTGTTCTTTAAGGACTACTACAATATAGTCTTTTACAGGAGCCATAATAATTTGCAGCGGGTTTGGCGGGTTTGGGGTATACAATAGCATGACTACAACCAGGAACCCTGAGGAACAACGTTGGTAACTTTTCAGGCCCCTGTATTTGTGGTTTTGATGCGTCAGGGCTACCTCTTGGAAGCCCGGTTGGATTGACCCAAAAATTCCTGAACCGCGCAATGCTACGCACATCCAGAGATTTACAAAAAGATAAGGCGGACAGCTCTGGAAAGGCCGCTGTCTTAAACCCCACCTGCCATGACGACGCGGATCTTCTCTGAAGCTTCGATCTCCGCTATCAGCTCACACATCGCCGCAGGAATTTCTGCCGACCTCCACTCTCGAAGTTAGGGCCCCTCTTTGGGGTTTTCCGAAAAGAACTGATCATGAGGTTTAATGCGTCGAGGGTCCTTATAGCAGGGTTGCAAAACAGCCTGGCCAAATATGACACGGAAGCGGAGCCTGCTTAAGATATCCACCACAAATAGGACAAAGAAGGACCGTAATAACCTGAATGCACAAAGCGTGGTGTTAGGGAAGCAGGAGCGTGCTACCAACAGGACTGCAACTGAATATATGGCACGCCACTCATGTTCCTTACTAGTGGTGATCCTGGCAGCAACCACAGTGCCTTGCAGCCCAGCCACCTTTCTGGGTGCTCTCTGTCTCTTTCTCTCTATCGATCTCTCTGACTCTGCATATACGCATGACTACATCTAGATATGTGGTATGTGCATCTATGTATATATATATATTTCTTTATTTCTTTATTTATTTATATTTAATGCGTGTGTATGCATTAAGATATATACATGTATATATATATATATATAGATGTATACATATATATATATATATAGATGTATACATATACATATATATATATAGATGTATACATATATATATATATATATGTAGATATATATATATATATAAACACATACACACAGACGTACAGCTTTGTTTGTTCCAGTAGCCGATACTGGCTACTATTGTACGGGACTCGGCTTCTAAGGCATGTATGTGAATGCATCTGCAACATCCCTTGATCGACGTATATTCCTGGGGTGGTGAAGTCGCTGGGTATGGTGTAAGATCACGAGGACACGCCATGAAAAGAACCCGCACCAAAAATCGTCAACAAAGAAAACTAACACCCCAGAAGCCTTAATTATTGTAAACACAAACTAAATAAGACCATGACGAAATTCTTTCAAGAAGCTTTACAATCATAAGAGGGTCCCTTCAAAAGAACTCAGAACTTCGAGCTGCTGCCTTGTCTTTAACAACGCGGAGGATGCCGATTGGCTCCTGTGCCAGGCTTTGGCTGGAGGCCGAGTGTCGGGTTTCGGCGCTCACACGTTTACGGTTTGGGGAGTAATTGCCCAAAGGGTCCTAGGTACTGTTATGGGAGATACTTTCCCAAATCATAATACTAATTCCTAATATTGAAACCCTACATTCTACCATATGGGTACTTAGGACCCTTTGGGTTGGTAACTCATCTATTTATAGTGGGGCTCCCCAGGGAAGTTGCACTATCTATGGGTAGCAACCCCTAAACCAAGCAAAGCACGCAAGCAAGCACAGCTAAGCTTTTCGCTGCAGAAAGTCATCGATGCTGCGGTGTGTATGGGCTCTTCTCTTCAGCAGTCGCACTGTCACTGCTCATGACATCAGCTGGAACTGCTGCACAACATCGGCACAAGACAACGGCTGTACATGATGCTTGTATTCAACACATCCCTAAAAAGAAGTGTTGGGCCGATGCGCAAAACAGCGGATTACATGGCCTGGGAGGCCTTCATCCGAGACTTACGGCGCTCACGTTGTGCTTTCCTCAGCCCCGACCTCCGAGCTTCTTCAACTTCGTCTTCTGGAGACTGCACGACATTGATGCAGCCCTTCTTTCGGAAAGCCGGGTAGAGCTCGTCCTTCATGGCCTTCGTCAAAGAGTCACCGTACTGCTTCCAGGTGGGCACCCAATGGAGGTCCAGCGTAGTTTCTTGAACAAGCTGTCGCACCTCCAGGATGTCCAAGGACACTTGCCTTTCTGTTGCCAAGAGACTGGAGCCTTTCACATGATCGTAGAGGCTCCGGGCATCGGTCACGAGGTGCCCCTTTTGGGCCATGGTGCTTCTCCAGGTGGACTGGACCTCGAGGTTCCCGGTCTGGAGCACGTCGAAGAGCTTCAGGTTGTAGACCAGGCGGTCCGCACAAGCTGCCATGCTGGCTCCTTCAGCAGCCAAAGAAGAGCGAACAACCCTTGCGATCTTATTCGAGTGGAACTCCAAGATGTTCGCCTTGCCTTCGCCCTTGAGAACACCCATCTCGGCAACAAAGTGGCACTCTCCCCGCTGGGCCGCGAGGTTGTTCAGGTTGCCTGTCTTGCCGAGGCTGGCGTCAAAGTAGCTCACCAGAATCAAGTCCTGCTTGAGAGCCCGGAAGGGGAGAACAGCTTGGCCTTCCCGAGCAGCCTGTTGAACTTCACAGAGTAGCTCTCCTGCAGAAACAAGGTCCTTGACCTGGGCCTGGCTCACGCGTTGGGCCAGAGCGCTTACACTGAAAAGAAACTCAGGCAAGACCAGGTGCACCGGCCAACGAAGCTGAGCGATCAACCGGCGAAACTCCCTTAGACCAGGAGCGTCCAAAGCCGCTTCCTTGTCCTTAGTCAGGATGGCAGGGGGGCGGATCTCCAAGACATAGTCCTTCATGTCGTTGTAAAAGACACCGTCCCGGACGTAGATCTTCATCCCCAGGTAGTTCTGAGGCTCGTGTCCGATCGCCTGCCATTCCTTGATGGAGAAGAGCTCGTTGATCTCCTTCTTGGCCTGCTCAATCTCACGCCCCTTCTGGCCTGTAAGAAAGCCATCATCTACGTGTAGGCACAGCACAGCCACAACCTTGCCGTGCCGTTTCTTGATGAAGGTTGCCGGTGCCCATGGGATTTCCTCAAAGCCACATCTTCGCAAGAGTTCCCTGGCCTGGATGTACCAGAGACGCGGCGCCTCACTGAGGCCATAGGCCGACTTGAGGATCTTCCACAGCACCTCAGAATTCACACACTTGAGGTCTCTTGGAGGCCGGACGTACAGGTCCCGGTCCACAGCCTTGCCGCTGAGGAAGGCAGTCGAGACATCGAACAGCCAGAAGCACCAGCCATACTTCATGCCCAAGGTGATGGCCAGGCGCACGGCAGACATCTGTGTTGTCGGGGCATCTGTCCTCACACTGCCCATATCTGGGTCCAGGTGACCCGGCAGCACGATCCGGCTCTTAGCGGTCAGGCCGGCTTGTCCTGCAGGTGTCTTGTTCGTGCGCACCAGGCGGGCAGGGATGGCAAAGACACGGCCACGGGGAATCTTCTTGGCCTCCTTCGGGTCGATCTCCTCGACGACCTTGTTCTTCACCCAGGCCTGCCACTCCTTCTCGTCTGCAAGGTCAAAGGCCTCACGCTCCACAGAAGAGAAGTGCTTGGGGTCGAGCTCCTTGCCGTTAGCCTTGGCTTTGAGAAGAAACGCTTCCGACTTGGCGCGGTAGTCGAGGAGGTCCTTTTCAGCAGCTTCCACGGTGGCTGGGTCTGAGCTAACAACAAAGGTGTGGCCACCCTTCCTGAGGTAGAGCTTTGCCTCTTGAGCCTTCCCTTTCTTTCTCTTTGGGCTGGACAGGAAGAGCGAAACTCCACGCCACAAGTGAGGACAACGTCGAGCAGGCCGTTTGCGGACCTCTGCCGCCGTTTCCTGAGCGACAAGGGCCTGCTTCGGGTTAGTGCCGAACATGACTGTCACACGACCCTTTTTAGCTTGAGGCCCAGGATGCTGAAGGCGTTTTCGGGGAGCACGATGTAGACGAGCCGAAGACAACGGGAGGTCCAAGAGGTGACTGAGACGAGCCACCTCTGCACGTGGCAGCCATTCGTTTGGCCTGCCCTCAGCCTTCACATTCAGCTCCTTTTCGGAGAGGGCGGTCAGCACGAAGTTGGCGAAGTCTTCCGTGCGCACTCTCTTGGGTTCCGGCTCGTTGGTCTCCTCGTTGGCCTGCTCGTTGGCCTGCTCGTCGAGGAGGCGCTTCTTGATCTTGAACTGGAAGGGCACATCGTCCAGCGGATCGTAAGCTTGCTCCTGCCGAGAAGCTGGTGCATCCTCCCAGGGTAGAACAGGCAGCTCCGAAGTAGCTTCGGGTAGTGGTACGTTGGGTTCTTCGGCTGGGAGGAGCTGCTCGTTGTCCTGAGGCGGGTGTTCTGGTGCTTCCTCTGCTTTACGGCATCGTGGGAGAAGGTGGCGCCGCCGTCGAAGGTCAAGAGGAAGCTTCAAAGTTTTCTTGACTGATTTCAGGCCCGCCATCATCCGGCGAGCGTCCGTCAACTTACGTCCTGCGCCATTGGCCAGGCGGCGGGAAACAAGGCCCGGGACTTCAACTGAAAACGGGGCCTCCAGCTCGACGGGTGGGGGCTCGTCTGCGGTCATATCCACATAGCCCTTCGCCATCTCCAGCTCCAGGCCTTGATCGCGGAGATCCTGTCGATTGGCATCCTCGACGGTGGCCCCCTTCATGTTTGACCCAGATAGCAAGAGGCACCTCCCCCTCCAGGATACAAAGTATCTATCAGAACCCTCTGGCACGAGAACAACCGCCGGCCCCCGCCAACTGCCCAGATCCTTCTTGTACCTCCTCCCTTTTGGGTTGGCTGGAGGCCAGAAGTAAATCAGCTCCCCGGGGGTGTACTGCCTCCTTTCTCCGGTCGGTGCCCTTCGCAAAGCACGCTTTATCTTTTCCAGCACATCGCCTCGTAGAAGGGCCACCTTGGCGGAGGCTCGGAGTTCAGCAGCACGAGCAACTTCACCTTCAATGCTCAGGGCAAACCCCAAGCTTTTGCGGCTCCAAACTTCATCGTCCAGCAGCTCCGGGTACGCAGCCTGGCGACCATACACGAGGTAATGGTGGCCGCCCCGGCTGATCACGCTGTTCTTGGCCTGGCACGCGCAGCTGAGACCGAGCTTCATCTGAGACCGTCCCACCAGCTGCTTCTCGTCCACATTCGCCTGCACTGCGACACCGAGGAGCGCGCCATGCCTCTCCGCGAAGCCATTGGACCACGGAGCGTGAGAGCCAACAAATTCTGAATGAATCGAGTGGCCCTCCAGGAGCTGGATGAACTCCGTTTCCCATTCCCCACCTTGATCTAACCGAACACGCTGTGGGGGTCCGAACATGCCAATCCACATGGAAACAAACTTTGCTGCCACATGGGCTGGCTCCCGGTTCCGGAGAAGCTTGGCCAAGTGGTAGTTTGTAGCCTCGTCGACAGCAG